AATTTCTAGTTTTGGAAAACTACTATTTTCAAGATAATCGGCAAGTATGTGTTAACAAACTCCATAACCTACAGAAAACTAAGCAAGTTATACTTACGAGTATACCAAGCTTTGTATTTCACTTAGTTAACTATTGATTAGAAGTAGGTTTGAGGAACATAGAAGCAAATATAGGCAACAAGTTATTATGTTATCAGAATATATAAATATGTACCTGTTATACAACTTGCGTAACCTTTAAACTTTAAATATTTCATTGTCTATTGAATTTGAATAATGATAGAATATTAATTTGTTTAATTATTTGCGTGTAAACATTTTCCAGGGACGTTGTCAGACATATTTTAAACATGACGCACTATTAACTGATATAAAATATGGTTAATATAGTGCTTTGCAACAAATTTTCTTTCGAAATTTTTTGGAACAGTTAGTACAGAAAATAAAAGGTACTTTTTATACAGGGTGGTCCGAATTTTATGCAGGAAACTTCGAGGGTAGATAGATCTCTTTAAAATAATATGTGTTTGCCTTATAAACATAGGTCTGGAACGGCCCCGTTTTAGAGATACAGGTGTTGAGGTTTTAAAAAAAATTGATTTTTTGTTTATATCGCACACTACCTCACAGATGGTGTAGAAAGGAGTGTAAATAATTTTGTTGATGTGCTTACAAATTGCACTTACTTTTAAACATAAACAAATATTCTTGTAATATTATCGTTGGAAGTGTCTGTCACAAGGGGATTGTATTGGTATGAATAACTTGAGAACGGCGAATCTTAAGGAAAAAATTAGTCACCTTTTTTACGTATTTTGTGCATTAAAATATAAAACAGTTACAATGACATGTAAAAAAAATGCAGTGGCGTAGGTTTTTTGTGAAAAAGGGACCCCTGTCCAGTTGTACACCACTGGTTGAACCTTTAAAGCTCATATTTCAAGGAATATAAGGCCTACTATCATACATTATATGTACCAAATTTTATTGATATCGGTTAATAGATTCCGGAGATATAAACAAAAAATCAATTTTTTTTGACAACAACACATATTATTTTAAAGAGATGTATCTGTCCTCGAAGTTTCCTGCATAAAATTCGGACCACCCTGTATATATTTTGTTGTGATAGTAAGAAATATGTTCTTCTTTATGAACGATCGTATTTGTTGCCGTATGTTTTTTTTTCCGTAAGTATTGTATACCTACGGTAATACCTAAGAAGTTTTTGGATGAAATATGAATTGTCACAATTTTTTTTTTATTTCTTTTTTTTTATTTTAGAAATACGTAAAACTACCCATAAGTGTAGAAGTAATTCTTTGACAAAAAAAATAAGAAAATTAAGTTATTCAAATATAATCCTTCATTTCATATAGGTACATGATAATAAGGTTTTATATATTTTTTAGATAAATTGATACCAATTAACCTATTGCTTGCTGTCCAGTTATGTCGTCAGATTTGAAACCATATTATTACAGTTTCAGATATTTATGTACAATCTAACAAAAACTCATATGTTGTTAAATATTATCCAAACGGTTAAAGATGCAGAATAATTTCAAGAAGTTTTAAAATAAAACAAACATGTCTTTTCTCAAAAAATGTGTTGTCGCAATAAAAAATTCATTATTTCAAACCAAAATAGTGTTGAGTCCATCAAATTTGAGTGGATTACATTAAAACATTAAGCCTTTGCCCTATGAACTTCTTTCTTATTTTTGACAGAAGCGTATAGTGTTTGGCTGGTCAATATAGCAACACCCTGTATAATCAAAAAAATAATTACTTTTTTCTGTTTGTAACAAAAAGAAATATATTTCGAAATTGTTTTTTATAGCATGACCCATGCTTCAAAGTAATAAGTTCTACTGTGAGCATGTTGATGATAATCTGATAAGATACGAAAATATCAATTTCTTTAAGATTCTGGTCACACTATGTCCATCCGGCTGTACTTCCTTTAGCTTAAAGGAAATATAATAGGTATTTTTTCAAAGTTTTTGACCTTTTTCATTATGTCAGTATATGAATAATAAAAAAACATTTGTTGTTAGAGGAAACTAAATAGTTGTAAATAATCTAGGCCTTTTTCAGGTACATTAACTATAAAAACGGTTAATTTGAAATATTTGTCGCTTCGGTCTCAGAAAATGTTCACTAAATTTCAGAAATCATTAATTCGATTTCGGAAAACTTGATAATGAAATTGAAATAAAGCAAAATTCCCTATTTCCCCAATTCCAAAAAAACCTGTAGATCTGGCATCACTCTTTCTAGGGCTGCGCCTCACCTTAGACAATTTGTGCTGCCCTCTGTTAACGGATGGTATTAACATATAGGAATACCGAAGTCGGAATTGTATAGGTAGTGACATTTATTACAGAAAAGGCAAACGACGAAAACAAAGATGACCACCGGTCGCTGAATTACAAGTGGAAGTGGATCTTATTTGTGGAAGGGCGAAACGGGCGGTGACTATGAGACGCCTTCATTATAGCCATCCTTCTCTATCACACGGATTTCTATTACTTACTTTATCGCTCTCACGTAACGGCCGATGAACCATGGGGACTTTCCGACCCTGTATAGGTAAATACTTAAACGTGGCCGAGAACGTAGCATAACAATTGATTCCTGATCACCCAAAAATTGATAGGCAAAAAGTTTTTTTCCATAGAAAATTTTCTCAGAATAATATAATTTTTTTCATTGAATTTTTCTTTGTACCTTAGGTATTACATTTAAAAACAAATGTATAGGGTGAGTTAAGTTTAACACCAGACGCCAAGAATACGTACGAATAATTTTTAAAAATATTTGAGATTTCTTCAAATATGCTTCGGTTTCTATAGATGCGATGTTAAAGGTACAAAACGCAGAAATCTACACGTCTTGGTAAATATCTAAATCTTCACGAGTTTTCAATGCCTGTATTTTCTGAACATGATATGGAAAAAATCCCTGAAGCTTCAATATACTTTGTACATATGACATACTAGAATTATTGTGAAATCTTCGAGTGCTGGTACCAGGACCCTCTTTAAAGCAATTTAAAAATAAAATTATAACTGGGCTGTTTATTTAATTAAAAAAAAAATAATTTCAGATTAGTATTCTGGGGAACCCCTAAAAAACTGATCCCCATTAAAGTTACATCCTGTATAAATCAAAAATTTACCTTGCCGTCTTATTTAATTTTAATTATTTATAATGTAATTCTGAGAATATGTTTTTCTATAGTAGAAGTATGCAACTCGTGTGTCAAGTGTGTCTCCATTCGCGGAAAAATGGAAAAATTCCTATTTGTAAAAAAAGTTACATAAATACACAACTATTCTAATTTTGGTAACCGAGGCGCTAAATCATTTTCAAAAACATCAAATTGAAATTTCTAATTGTTCCGTTAACTATTAACACCTATAAGAATATCCGCAGCAAATTATAGGTGAATTTTTGCAGACCCTAAAGAACTGCATTAGGTATTGATGCGAAATTGAAATGTACAATCTATTGTGTTATCTACAAACTTTCATTATATCTTTTGCAGTTTCTTACGGAGTGATGGGAGTGTTGCAATTCTTCATCTCAAACGCGTGTCATGACGTTCTCCACCGATAATTTCCTTCGACCATATTGGCGTGATGACAAGCACCAGGCGATTCGATACGTCACTATTTTGTACAACTCTAGACTTGCAATCTCTCGGAAAACAATTACGCAACCATGTCCCGCCATAACAGTAAAACTCGTTAGTCATAGAACTGTTTATCTAGCCGCTGGTATCTGTACCGCAGAAATACGTTGGTGGTGTATAATTAATAGTTAATTTTAAGCAGAGTTGAGCAAAGATCATCGAGTTCTGATAATTGAAGGCACATTATTCAGTAATCTCTAATATGTATAATGAATCAATATATACAAATATTAAACATTATTCAGTATTTGTTTTCATGAATGCCGTGTATTCGCAATCGTCATTCTGCAAAATTGACTACAAGTCCTATTAAATCACTTTTCAAATATTTTTTTAATATTTGTATTCGTTTCGTATCTAATTACCCTTAGTCTTCTAAATATGCTACAATATAAAAGAGAGATGCTTTACATTTTTATATAGATAGAAATGGTAAATTATAGGTAAAAGTGTAACGAAGGGTTACATAATATTATTGTGGGTCTGTATTGTGTATGTGGACTCATGAAATTTTTAACGGTGTTATATTGAACCCACCAGTAGAAGAGGGTAATCAACTTATTTTGTCGAAACTTGGAAAACTACTGATTAGTTAGTTTAACACCTGTTAGACATGCTTCACATTATGATTCGCTTATTGCTTAACTTATAACTACAGAGCCTTCATGAACGTTTACTAGCCGGTCTTAGGCAACCCAACATTGCACGACTGGTACTGTCAACTAAAAATCCCTAAATATTAGCGTCATCCATATTAATGTTTCCTTTACAACGAACAATCACAAGCCGCTACGTCCAAACTTGAGATAATACGATCGCTGATTGGTTGAAAAGGTTCTTGTGATACCACCACCATCATCAATCACAGACGATGAAACAAAATGTGGTGTTTTAATGGAATCTTGATCTTGCTGTTTTAATTTTATAGAAATTTAATTGCCAATGTGAAGAAAATAAAATTACTTTTCCAAACAAAATCATTGTAATCATTTGTGAAAGGTCTGTACATATGACAAGTCTGATCTACGTGAACATAAGTGATTCATTAAATTATTCATAAAATCTATACTGAATATTATCGGTTATCGACATTAATACCCATTTTTCACAGAATTCCTTCTCGTTTTCACTTTAAAAATGCTGGAAACTTATAATATTTATTTATATTTTAATTGTTTTATTACCAAAACACAACCCAAATAAATTTAAGTACTTAAAAATAAATCAGATTATGACATTTCTAATTTAGTAATCTCTTCTTAGTTAATTATTATTAATCTTAATTATAATTTTGTTTCAGGTTCTCCAAGACAAACTTGATACAGCAGCAGACCTAGAAGTTGGTCTTAGGGACAAATTAAATAAGTTTCGAGAAGAAAATGAGGATCTCAGGTTTCAGGTGAGTTATTTGATAACTGGATTTATTTTAATAACAATTTTTTTGGCCCGAAACTGAAAAATAAACTTATTCTTTACATATTACATTCTAAAGTACAGTTCAGTAGATATAGCGTTTCTACTGAGCAGTATCCAAAGATGCGTTTTCTTATGGTGCGTATACATATAGCACAGGAAATGAAGGGTAGCCAATAGATAGTAACGTTCACTTACAGCCTACGTTGTAAAAAATATTAGCCTCGGTCACGTACATATACAGAAAGTGAAGAATATTTTCGTTATTCGAATAAAAATTTAATTTACCATCCAACTTTTGTAAACCAGTTGCCTTTTGATCGTGGTGAGATCATTCGGCATTTTCAATATTCAAAGCAAAGTCTGTCTCTTACACATGAAAATAACGTAAACACAACAAAAGTATGTATTTTGATCCTCAGAAACAAAATCTGACATGGGAAATAATTTACACAAATAATAAGTGGATCTTATTTGTGGAAGGGCGAAATGGGCGGTGACTATTAGACGCCTTCATTATAGCCATTTTTCTCTATCGCACGGATTTCTATGACTTTCTTTATCGCTCTCACGTAACGGCCGATGAACCATGGGGACTTTCCGACCATGTATACTTTAGAATGGACTTTCTGCAGAACAATGTGGAAATATTTTTCTCTTTAAAAAAGTAATAAAAGTACCTGCGTAACAATCAACATACCTGCATGACATGACAATTGCTTTAGATTACTTTACTATAATAATTATAATTTTTTTTTGTAGGCATTTATATTTGTTTGCAACAGTATTATACATACAGTTTTCCTTGAACTAAATATATATTAAATTCATAGATATTAATAAAATTGACAAATTCTTTGTCTATGTCATGACTTCAGCAGATTGTTCTTGGCACAATTTAACTCATAAGACTGTAATGAATCAAGATTTCCAATATTGCACCGACTTTATTTTCAATGGAATGTTTGTCGCCCTGGCGTTTTAGGTATTAATAATCTAGTTAATTACATAATATTTTTTAAATATATGTTTTTTCTAAATATTGCTGCTGCCTCCTTTAGCCTTTCTCTTAAAATTCAAACTAATAGTTATACTGAACATGTTAATTGTCAACACAACAACAAATTCCAGCTGAGGTGATAAGACAACCTACAAACCTAATAAAATGCGTGCAAAACAAGATTTATACTTTTTCTTCATCAATAAATAAAGTTCGTCTTGTCAATTTATTTTCTTTTTCCCATTCATTCATAAAATAATATTTTCTAAATACAGTTTTCTAATATTTCTTGCTATATTTGCCATCATTATTTCTAAAGTTCTAGTAGGTACTGAAAATTGCTTTGAAATTTATGTACTTAGAAAGAATATTTTTCTAAATATACTAATATATAAATACATCACTATTTCATAAGCGGTCGGTTCCGGCTACTCTTTTTGTGAAAAAGGATCGATGGGTCCATTTAAAATTATCACGTCACGCGTATCCAAATGAAACAATCTTGTCGGAATGCGGAACTTTTATTTTAGACGCACGCCAGAAAAAGTTGCTGAGATTATATGTTAGAAGCAAATTATGAATCAAGAAACAACAAATATTACTGGACTGAATGAAATTTATTATGGTTTTGAGGAAGTGAATGTAAAGGCCGTAAAGATGTAAATATATTTATGATATGCTTTTATTCTGTATATTCTACCCCGGACATAAATACTATAATTAAAATTTACTTGTCCATCAAATTTATAACTTTCTTTGTCCGGATTCTCTCTTCCATAGAACTTTCATATTTTGTAACATCAAATAATGCACAGCTATCTGTGGAAGTTTATCTGAAAGTATTCGCATCTAATACTAATCTAATAACTATATCAGTAAACAAAAAAAAATTTTTCTGCAGATAATGCGTAACAAAATTAATTTAAGAAATATTTTTTGTATTATAATTTAGTCACTTTTTTCCTCGAAATTTCAAGAAAGCAATAATTTTCTCCTGTGGTACATTTTCGTAATAATCCTCATTGCCTAGTTTTATCCATGGGATTTCGATTTTATCTATATTCATTAAGTTATCAGTGCTATACGAGATCTGTTCAGAAAATGACCTAACGTTTTGAATTACCCGCTAATAGAGGTATTTAGCGATATGCGGTTGGCAGCATTGCGTTGCGTATAACCACAGACAACATAGCTTGGGCGATAGCTATTTTGTCTGTGGTATAACCGCGCGCGCCATTATTCTATGGCTAGAAATTGGCCTCAATGATTTGGGATCGAGGGGGATTATCCCTCTTTATCCTGCCTCATCTCGTGTAGGCCTGGACAGCCTTCGTAGGTGGGCCCCATCCGTCGTCTACCCCGACCGCAAATGCGGCCGGTGTAGGCGCTTTGTGGGACCTCCTTTTGTCCTGGCTGGGCCCCGCCGGCTAGGGCCCTTTCTTCTGGCGCTCTTCTTGCTTCGCCGGCTCGTCTGTGTAAACCCCGGGGGTAGTGTCATGTTTATGTGTGGTATGGTTGGGTAGGGTAGTGCGGCTATGCAGCCTGGGATGCGCTTTGCTAAGGTGGCCCTTAGGCTAGCGCGGGAGGGGAGGGTTAAGGAGGGTATGGGGGGTGTGTATGTGTGTGTGTGTGTGTCGTTGTCTTCGTTTCTTGATCCTGGCTGTCTCTGAAACAGAAAAGGTTAGCGGGCAGGGGGGGGGGGGTCATTGGGGTGGTCACCCAGGGTCAAGTTGGTGTCTAGGTCTTTTGTGTTTGTCGGTCACGTCGGGTACGTAGTCAACGGCTTGCCTGAGGAGGGGATTGTCATGTCTAGCGGCTACGTCAAATCGTTTCTCCGCGTTTTGTCTTATTGTCTGTGTAGCGTTTGTGTATTGTAAGTCTCGTAATATGTCAGTGTTTCTTACGTACCAGGGCGCGTCGGTGGCCGTGCGGAGGGCTATGTTTTCCACAGCCTGTAATGACTTTAAGTGGCTTTTTGCCGCGTGACCCCACGCCGTGGAGGCGTAGGTTAGCTGCGGTTGAAGTACCACCTTGATAAGCGTTCGCTTATTCCTTAAACTGAGGGTGTTTCCACCTTTGAGTAAGGGATAGAGCCTAGCCCTGGTGGTCTTCGCTCGCGCCACCGTCTCCACGATGTGCGGTTTCCACGTGAGACGCTGGTCCATCGTCACGCCCAGGTATCGTGTTTGTCGATTCCAGGAGATGGGTTCCTGGGATAGTGTCAGTCTGTCAAGGTTTTGTGGGATTTTTCGTTTGGTAAAAATTATAGCCGAACTTTTGTTGGGATTAATTTTGACTTTCCACCTGTGGCACCAGGTTTCAAGTTGGTCTAAGGAGCTTTGGAGGAGGTAGACGGAATATCTAGGATCTACGGATTGGGATGTGATTGTCAGGTCGTCGGCGTATAAGTATATGTTGGTGTTGGGGGGATGTGGGATGTCGGAGTTGTAAATGGTGTATAGGTGTGGGGACAGGACGGTGCCCTGGGGGACACCGGCCTCCATGGGACGGGTGGTGGAAAGGGAATCTTGGATTTGGATGCGGAATTTTCGGTGGTGTAGGTAGGATTTTATGAGTTTGGTAAAGGATATGGGATATTGGTTGGTGAGCATTTTCATCAGTAGTCCTTCATGCCAAACCGTATCGAAGGCCTTTGCGACGTCCAGGAAGACAGCACCAGTGTACTGTCCCCTGTTGAAGGCCGCCGTGATGTGCTCGGTAAGGCGAAGGATTTGGAGTTCAGTGGAGTGATTGGGTTGGAAGGCGAACTGCTCGTCTGGAATGACTTGCAGTTCTTGGGAGTGGGTTCTTAGACGGGTTAGGATAATTTTTTCTACCACTTTGCTCATAGCCGGGAGAAGGCTAATGGGCCGGTAGTTGGATGGGATGGTGTGATCTTTGTTGGGTTTTGGGATAAGGAATATGTTTGCTGTTTTCCAGCGGGTAGGGAAGTGTCTTAGGCTGAGTGTCGCGTTTGTTATGTTTAGTAGGGCCATGAGGCCCTTGTGTGGTAGTCGTTTAAGTGTCGTGTTATGTATATTGTCGGGTCCGGGGGCTTTTCTGTTTTTAAGTCTGCGTATTGTCAGTCTTAGTTCGTCAGGTGTTGCGGGGGGGATTATGTCATTGTCTGGCTCTCTGTCGACGCGTCGGGCCGCGCGCTCAGCCACTAACTCGAATTCCTCGTCTTCGTCGGGCAGCTGAGGCAGTCTACACTGCAGTTCCAGGCTATCGGCGAAAGCCTCGGCCTTTTCCTGGTTCGTGTAAACCACCCCCACACTACCGTGGATTGGAGGAATTTTACGGCGAGCGGTCTGTCGCAGGGCCCTCTGCGTTTTCCAGAGGCTGTTGTCTTGTGGATCCAGCGACTCCAGGTGCCTAGCCCAGTTATCCTGGGCCAGTTCATCCAGAGCCGCCTTCACCCGTCTGTTAAGTACGTTTAAGTCATGTCTGTGTCGGGGGAGGCGGGGGCGGGGGGCAAGCCGTTTCGCACGTCGTCTGTCACGTATTAAGTTTTTTATGTCATCGGGGAGGGTGCCCCGGGGGTTTGTCAGTCGGGGGACAATAGTCTCCGTCGTAGTCTGAGTCAGGGCGTTTTTAATGTCAGTCTCAAGGGAGAGGATTGCCGCCTCCAGATCATGGGTGGTTTCGATGACTGGGAGCGCCATGTTTCCTTGCATTACTGTTCGGAAACGCTCCCAGTCAGTGAACCTCCTCGTGAAGGTGCCTTCATATCTCTGTCTTCGCCCCAGATCCAGAAATATTGGATTGTGGGCGGAAGACCCTTCGTATTGGGTGGATATTTGGGCATTTAACGGTATAGATTTTAAGAGGGCAATGTCGTGTGGTATAACCGCTTCTGTAACGACATATTCTTGGATTGTTGATATCTTATTTAGTTTTCGTGTTGTTATTTCAGCGCGTCGTGTTTAAGTGTTAGTGACGATTTTTGAAACGTGCGATTTTCTGGAACAACGATGTAAAGTAAA